TATTAAAATTTATTCCACGTTGCTATTTTAAGTAATTTTTAATTCTAACATTTACAAAAGTTATCTAGTATCTGTAAGATAACTTTTTGGAGTATGTTTTTACTTTTCTAGGCATTTTTCAATTTTATTAATCATATTATTCGCTGCCTTAGTTGTACATAGTTGAATGATTTAGCACGGTTTCGAATAATATATCATATTTATATATAATGAAACATACAATGTATTAAAAGAATGTATAAAAGAAAATGTATTATAAAAGAAAATTTATTTAATTATCTGAAGTCATTTTAAGCCAGATTTTGATGCTTGATTTTGATGCCAGATTTTGATGCTTTTGAAGTCATTATGTTCAAAACATTTTTTCATCGACTATTGTTATTGTAATGAGTATAAGGAGTAAACGATACAAAATATAAATTTATTGTGTATAAATATTTAGAAATTATTTTATTATTAAGTACGTTTAGAAGTTATTACGTACAACAAGTAAATAAGATATTACAGCGTAAAACTGAAAACTTTAAAACAATAATCTTCAAATATTATAAGGAAGTAATTTACAGAGGTGAATAAAAAAGTTTTAAGGATAAAAATTATATAACAATAAAATTATTATAACTTTTAACATTATTTATAATTTGTAATATTACAAATATCAATTAAGTCAATTTCTTTATTCGTTGATTTATATATTTTATTGTTTCGACGACAATTACTTACGTATATGAGAATGGATAGCGTATATGCAGAAACGTCAATAATTATTTCTCGAAAACGATAGGTCATAATACAGTATACCTTTATTACACATGGTTGAATTTATAAAAAAATAATCTTTAATTTGGTAAAAAAATTGGAAATTTAAAAAAATTATGGGTGGTGGGAGTATTTTATTAATCAACAAAAATATAAAAAAATTTTTTTTACAATTTCAAAGTACTCTTGGAACCGTACAACTTTTAAAAAAAATTTTTTTCTATTTTCTAATTCCGACGATATTCCCCTAAAAAGAAATCCGTTTTAAAGGGATTTCACCTCTTAAATATGAGTTAGCACACATATAAAAAATTACGTGTCTCTTAGATTTTCCTGTTTTACAACATATTTCATGGAGAATCAAATCGGTTTCGGACAGTTGTGAAACTTTTCTTGTTAGTAAAATTAGTCGTGTTAAATTGGAAACAAAATTAATGTAAAAAAAATCTTAAATATATATATCGAATATGTATATCATAGAAAAATCTGCTGGATATAATCACGAAAAAAGTATTATATTTTGTAATATTTTGTAAAATGCTA